TGTTCGAGTATTATTTCATACATTGTTCGAGTATTATTTCATACATTGTTCGAGTATTATTTCATACATTGTGATACGTCTGGATGCGGCTATCATTTGATTTTAGTCAATTGTGATAAGTAATAAAATATTACAAAATACGGAATGGCTTATTCTGGCATTTTAGCAGAAAATTCTCCGGTATCTAACAGGTAANGTTCGAGTATTATTTCATACATTGTTCGAGTATTATTTCATACATTGTGATACGTCTGGATGCGGCTATCATTTGATTTTAGTCAATTGTGATAAGTAATAAAATATTACAAAATACGGAATGGCTTATTCTGGCATTTTAGCAGAAAATTCTCCGGTATCTAACAGGTAAAAATTAAATCAGAAATAATATTTAGAAATAATTAATTAATTTAGAAATAATATTGATATCTGTTTATACAATTTTCAATTTGAATTGATTTTTATTTTCGTTTTCTACTTAGCAGCTCGTATTTTTTAAGCTCTCCTCTAATAAATGTAACCATTTTTTACGTATGTAATTATTTCTTTTTAAAAACAGTACTAGTACAGAATTCACACTACACGTGAACAATTTGCCGGAAGAATTGAGTGAGGTATGTGGGTGCAATTATTCAAATATAATTTATTATTGTTTCGTGTAAATTGTTTATTATCATATTTATATTATTTATTAAAATAAAAATGTTCATCATTATAAACATTATTTCTCAAGTAGAATTTGAAAAGAAAATTTACATGTTTCTTAACTTTAAAGCATGGATTTTTGGAAATCTTTAATCACTATGGAAAAGTCATTGGACACTTTTATCGACCAAATGCCGTCTGGGGTTATATTACATATGGCAATTCTTATGAAGCACAAAATGCCATTAAAGATTTAAATAACGTACTGCCTCTGCGTCTGAAAGTTTCACTCACTAGAGGCAGGTCTAATGAAGTTAACTTTGCAAAAGCACCTGTTTCCAATAACGAAAAATATAGTTTCAACCAAGAAAATAGATGTACGGACACACTTTTGTAAGTATTTATTTATATATTCTTATTGATAGATGTATCATGTTTATAAATAATAAATAATACATTGATTTAAATTATGTATAGAACACCAAGAACAGGCTCAGGGAAACCCATGGACATATTCAAAAAAATAGAACCAAATGTGGGATTACCAAATTATACAGCAGATAGTGATTTATTATATAATTATCCTACTGATCCATTCACATATAATCCATATGAAAATACAGAACCTTATGCAAATACGAACGCGTTATGGACAAGGTATTTTTGAAGAATTATCTACAATATATATATACAGACATAAATTTCTTTTTAAAATATTGTAGAGGTCATTTGTGCATTACACAAAATGGTAAAAGACATGTGTCCCTTGGACGCGGTTATACAAAGTATGAAATTCCAGATCCAAATCCTGAAATTCTGAATCATATCAGCAAGGTGTATGAAAAACGAACCTCAGTAAGTAGAGATATTGACAGAGTATAGAAACATTCAATGTAATTTTAATATTAATCAATAAAGTCATGAGTACTGATTATAGTCATTCAATTTAATAGGGATTGTATGAATTTGGTAATGATAGCCTAGAATGTGAAATTGGAAAATGTAGAAAATGTTCGAAAATAACAAAGTTTATTTGTGAGGGATGTCCTGGTTTTTTTTATTGCAGTAGAAACTGCCAAGAAATTGATTGGCCACAACATAAAATAGAATGTCAATCTATTCCGTAAGTATGGTCAAAGATGTTGATCATTGCTAACATTTAAAGTATTGAAATATTTTATTTTTAGAGCTTTGGTGACAATGACGAATTCGACAAAAACGTTACAAATTCAAATTGGACAAACTCATACTAGAAATTTGTCTTCTTTTCAATTGCCCCTGCGTCGACCAAAGCAGTTATCAACTACTACAGATCTGACAAAACATCATAGTAACAATGAAGACATGATCAAAACATCTACAAGCACTAATAACAATGTTAAAGAAGATTTGAGACAATCAAATGCTAAGAGTACTGATCAATGCAAAAGATCTCAGAACGAAGAAGAAAGTATTCCCACAGAACAAATAATAAATGAGGTAAAAAATGATAAAAATACCATCCAGAGTATTAACATGGAAAAATACGCGAACAATTCGTTTAAAAAGTCACAGGATTCTCTTCCATATTCCGATAAAAAAGTAAATCATAAAAGATCTGAAAATTCCGATAATAACGGTAAAAAGAGACAAAATTTTAATGTTAACGATATAATTAATATGGAAGCAGAAATTGCTTTTCCGAAGAATATGTTTTTATCAAAGTCAAAGTTTACAGAGGTAAAAATAATTTTAAATGAAGGTCGTGAATATTGGGTTCAAAAATTAGAAGATGTTGCCAAAATGGGTGAATTAATGACCAATTTACAATCTGTGGCAGAGAAAGCACAGCAGAAAGCGAAAGCAGTTGTTGGAAAGCTATATGCAGTAAAATATGAAAACATATGGCATAGAGCATTGGTAAAGTCATTAGATCCTTTAACTGTGCATTATATAGATTTTGGTAATGATGAAGTCGTAAAAACGATCGACCTCCGCTTAATTCCTGAATTTGAAAATGTTCGGAGATACGCTACAAAAATTCGTATTTCTGAGAAAGCATATGAAAAGCATAAAGATCTTGGTTACGGAAGTCAACTGTATGTAAAATTGATATCCTTTGATGCCAATCGAGTGATCGACGTGGAAGTTCAAGGAGAGAATGATGAAACAGCAATTCGAAATTCAGTATCAGAAGTTCAGACTTCAGCATTGGAAGCACGGAGCTTGAGATCTGTTAAAAGTCCGACTTTTTCGAAAATTGATACTAATAAAAAAGGGGCAACTACTTTTACAAAACCACAAAACGTAGTAAATATTGCATCTGTTGGAGAATTAGGTTTTCTTGAGATACACGCAGAATTGAGCAATTCTGTTTATAGCGTTACATTATTATTAAATGATTTATCGCCTGATTTTGAAAAGCTTTTAAGTGAATTGCCTGCAACATGTGAAGAAAAAGTGGAGAATTTCGATCACAGGTAGGCAATAATATTCACAGAGTTCAACATATGATAGAGAGTTAAAATTTGCTTAATTGATAGACCTCAGGTAGGGGAATTGATATGTGGTCAGAGGCTCGATGGAGATTGGCTCAGAGGATATGTTTTATCACTGGACAAACCTTTAAAAATGGCTATAATAGATGAAGCTAGGGTGATGGAAATTACAAAAACTATGCCATGTCCTGATGGCTTTTTGAGTATTTGTTCTTTTGGTGTTACATGCAAAATAATGGACACCAAACATAAGTTGACAGTAGGTTTATAATATATATTGTTTTAGGAAATATAATTCATATTATTTTCTCTTTAATTGTTAAATTTTTTTTTATAGACAGGTGAGCATTACGATCTTAAAGTATTGGCGCGTAGCAATAAAAACGAAGTCAAAATAGAAATTGGAATCAGTGATCAGGAAAAAATTATGGCTATTGTGAAGCCATGGATGCCGATGCCTGAACAAGTAGGACTGCGATACGCTACATTAAAAAATAAATCTGAGGTTTGAACGTTAATTTCAACTTAAGTAATATGAATAGTAATTATAAAAACTTGCAATATTTATACATTATACTATTAAAATCTCCGATGGTTATAATAGGTATGCCTATCTGCTTATCGAAGTCATGTTCATATGTATGCTCGACCTCTAGATACCGCGAGCAAAAATTACTACAATCATATTATGCAAAGTGCTGCTAAATGTGCACAAACAGGTATTTAAAATATGTCATAATAATTTTTTCATTTTTACAAACTAACATAATATGTTGATGTGCTAGCTTCGTCGTTAAACGAACCACCAGTTGTTGGACAAATGGTATTAGCAAATTATATAGATAACAATTATTATCGTGCAATTGTTACTAGACTGCAGGGAAACGAAATTACGATTGTGTATTATGATTTCGGTAATATAGAAATCGTCACTATAAAAAAACTCATGATCCTAAGTGATGAATTAAAACAGGTTTGTTACGATTTATATCAATATAATAGCACAATATTTGGTAAAACGTACTAATGGAAAATTTTTGAAAAGCTACCATCTTGTACGGCCAAGATTATTTTGAAAGATGTACCACAAGATATCCCTATGACCAAAGAAATAAGCAATTACCTTAATCAATTAGTAGGAAAAGAAGAACCTATGATTTGCACCTTTGAAGGTATACCGTTGAAAGATGGTGTTCATCTTCATCTTAACGGAAAAAGTATTAATAAAATCATAAGTGAAATGCTAGTACCAATATGGAATAAAATTGGCGAGGAAGGTGATTATTAAAGAATAATAATTACTTTCAAAATGACCATCATACCTTTAGTATAAAACTGAAATTTATTACAGATACAACGTGTTATATGTTAAATGACATAGAGGTTGCTCCCCTAGGAAAAGTAGGTGACATCACAGAGGCGTGTGTATTACATTCTCATGATGATGATTACACTTATTCGATGTGTCCATTAGATTATGATTTAATGAGTCATATATTTGACACTATGTCTAACATGGTAATTTTTAGATTTTTACAGTTAGCTTATATGTATGTACATGTATGTAATATTCTTTACAAATATTACATTAATTTACGTATGCATTATAGATGACTGAATATTGCAAAAAATCCAAGTATTATATTCCTCGTGAGAACGAACTTTGTTTAGCTTTCTATGATGACATCTGGTGTCGTGCTGCTTGTGTTGATCGTTCTAAAACACCGACAGCGAGTCTCGTTTTTTTCATTGACAATGGAAATTTCGCAACAGTTGATCATGAGAATTTACGACTTATGCCGATAGATTTTATAACTCCTAAAGCACTTGCAAACACTTGCTTCATTACAAGTAAGTATATGGTATACGTATATCTTCATTTCAAGTATTACAATTAAAAACATTCTCGTTCTTTTATCCAGATTTAGATCCTATCAACTTTAAGAATTCAGCTGAAGCAATATTAATACGCAGGAGAATTAAAAAATTGATTGTGCCCAATCGTAGCTACAGAATAGAAATCATTGGATACGACGAAAAGGACGGAAGTTACAAGGTGGACATGTTAGATATTCGATCTCAATTAATGGAAGAGGGTCTGATACCAGAATAAAAATATAATACTCATCGGAATTAATGTCCATTGCGAATAAAAGAAAGACAGAAAACAATAAAATCACGAGAAATATTTTTTAAAAGTTTAATCAGTACTGAAGACGAAGTTTCGTTATTTTAAAAATTTAAGACTATGAAGAAAGCATTAGTTACACAGAATTCATTTATTTTTTTAAGCAGTTTTACTATTCGTCTATATTTTTATTCTATTTCATAGATTTCGATTAATATTAAGATACAATAATTATAATAAGAACAAAATTTTGTTATAACCTTACATACTAACAATAAAAGTAATAAAAGATTGAAATTATTGTTTATAGTATTTTGATTTATCCTAGATGACGTACTAGGTATTTTGTTATGGGAATGAGGATAAGTCGATTAACCATTACATACTGCTGTGCTTTATTTACCTATCACTCTAACCTAACTTAAAGTACCTGACTAACCTCTCTTGATATGACAGTTCGGATGTGATAGATTGCTATACGCAACTGTCCGGTTTTTAAATACACACGAGGCTTCCAAAGAATAGAAACAATAAATGATGAACGTTCAAATAAGGCACCCTTATGAGGGTTTATTACACAAGTATACTAATGCCATGAAAGGCTGGCAATATCGTTGGTTTATCCTTAGTCCCGAAACTGGCGAACTACATTATTTTCTTAGTGAATCTGAAAAGAATCAAAGACCAAGATGCTCAATATATTTAGCGGGGGCAGTAATTGCACCAAGTGATGAAGATTCCAATACATTCACTGTCAATTCTGCTACAGGTATGTTAATATATTAAATTGTATTATATATCACTGTTTACATATAGAAGTTTTATAGAAACAAATTGTATGAATCAAAATACTGCATTTTTTCTGTAAATAATTGCTTGGATATTGGTATAAACAATGTATATGTTTTTAAAAGTATTTTTTCTAATAATGTTTTTAAACAAATTTAGGTGACATGATTAAGTTGAGAGCTACTGATGCCCGTGCTCGTCAAGAGTGGGTAGATAAATTACGTGCTGTCACAGAAATGTATACCAGAGCAATAGCCAGCAGTCATCCTCCCCTGCCTCCTAGAGAACACTCAACAAATACCAATAGGAACCCAGTAGCTAAGTTAGAAGTTTTAGATGCTTTTGCTAATTGTCAGGAACAATTGAGCAAAGTAGAGAAACATAATCATGCGTTGGCACAAACTATTGAAACTTCAAGCTTAAACCTGGACCCTGACCTACTAGTTCTTAAAGCCACAGCATATACCACATTACACACATTAAGTCAATGTTTAAATATATTATATCAGTAGTTTCTACTGAAAATATTATTATCAATCGAAGACTTATAAGGACTTTTTATCTATACGTATCAGATGCATTTCAATTATTTCCAGCATAATATATTTTAAACCTCTTATCGACAATCCAATTGTATGTTCTTCCAAGTCAGAGTTATGGGAGAATTTGCCTTCTTACCAAATAGTAGGTAGAAAAGAATAATTATCATGTTGTTTATAAGACTTAAACATAATACATTGAACATCTCTAAGAATCTTTATATTTTAAACATGTGAAAAATCACAGCCTTCACATTAGTGCAAAGAGTGAATTTGCAATAAACAAATAAACTGATATAATTCCACCCTTAGGAATTTAATTAGGATTGGATAAGTGTTTGCAATTATTCTGTATAGACATACTGATAAAGAACAAAGAATGAGCACCAGTGATAATTGGTGCTACAAAAAATTTGTTATTAAAATATAATTATAAAAATATAAAACACGTTTGTAATGTTCACGAAAAAATTAATTTTTCTGACAGTGTTGGTGTTTTTAAAATCTATGAGAAACTACAGAAGCTGCAGTTTCTCATCTCACAATAAGTGTCAAGGTCATGGAATTAGGTGAAGGTGAACAAGCAGCAACAGACTTTTACTTTGCTTAAAGACCAAACTCAATCAGTTTGATCATGGCATGGTCCATGAAAAGATCACAGTTAGTCACTCTTCTAATATCGAACTCCAGTTAATGTTCTTGTTAGCATAATTATGATAACAAATAGAGATATGCGAAATGGCACAAAAACATTTCTATCGTATTTTCGAAAAATTATATTCTGTGTTTTAAGTTAACATTAAATGTAATTTCGACGATTATTCGAAATGTTATCTAAAGTTAAGTAAAAAATACTCATCAAATAAAATAGATTTTGAAAGAAATATGTCTATTACACCTACTCCAGAACTGTTGACCGAAGCAGCAGGTGTTAAAATCTTTATGACACCTTTACTAGAGGAAGGATTTCTATCGAATGTAGCTTCGATTACGGGAAAAATTTGTGTAACGTTGCAAAACATTAAGGAAGCGAAATCTTGTGGATTTCATCTGACAAAATCAAAATGGGATCCTTATCCCTGGGTAAGCTGCGTCGAAACGGGAAGTCTTGCGGATACAGGCGGTCTTAGGTAGGTCTAAATAAAATTAAACAATTAAAATTAAGAAATATCATTGACCTAAATGGTTTTGCTTGTCGTTTTTCAGAGCTGGTGATTGTTTAGTGAGCATCGAAGGGAAGGATTTAATAGGATTAAAAATAAAAGAAGTTGCAACATTGATTCACGAGCATGAGAAACAAAATATAAATCTATTTATCTGGAGATATATTAATGAAGAAGAAAAAGAAGCAGGAGCAGGAGTAGCTATAAAAGGACCATTGCCTGATGTAGCAAATAAACTTGCAAATGCGGTTTCTGGAGTTGTAAATAAATTTCTTTAAATAATTTCTTGGTTGAAGCATCATAATATTATACAGCTTTTTCAATGAAATCATATTTTCTTAGGTGAAGGCTCTAGAATGCCCAATTTGTTTGGAGAGTTCCATGCCCCCAGTATCTCAATGTGTTCACGGACACATCATTTGTGTAGGATGCAGACCAAGAATGTCTCGTTGTCCAGTTTGCCGAGTTAGATTAGGTCAAGGCAGATGCTTGCTCGCAGATAAACTCCACAAGGTATTTCGAGATGTTTTTGAAATAAAGGACAATTCACGCGATAATATAGAATACCAAGGTTGGACTCTCCAAGATCGTCTTTTTGGCAAAAGTAACAAGAAGATTACGCCACTAGACAAATCAAAAAATAATGGCGCGATTCTGAAGGCGCGTCATTTACTATTATCTAAACTATTTTTTGGCGGAGTGGAGAAAGCTGCTTCGGCAGATAATCTAGCAACAGTTTCCAGTGAAGTATCTAATATGAACGAAACATTAAAGAACAACTTAAAGTTTGAGGATTGTTTAAGATTAGCTGACCGTACGAAGTCTGCTAGCACTGGAGAATTGTCAAAAGAAACAATGAAAAATGTTATCAATGAATCTTTACAAACTGATGGTAATGATAGAATATCGAGGGTTACTAGCAGAATTTCAAGCACTGCCAGTTTAATGTGCAGCATGTCTCAGAAAGGTTCAATGGATTCTGTATCTTGTATACAAATAGCATGTCCTTTTGAAAGACAAAGCGGTTGTAAAGATATTATTACTCCTGACTTAGTGTTGGAACACTTGATTGGAGTTCATGAAGTTCCACACATTCATTTCTATTCTACTCCTGTACAGATTCCGTTGCCACTTCCATTTGGTATTAACGCTGTTTATATATTACATTATGCTGGAGAACTTTTCTTCCTGCAGGTATATTTTTTCTATTGTTATTTCTATTGTTATTTTTTAATATGGAAAATGGTATTATGAATTGTAAATGAACAGTACGAACAGGAAGCTGTCTGGATTTCGTGTGCGACGGGAGGAACAAATTCATGGGAATGGATTTTGCATGGTCAAGGAGAAAACAGTACTGAAATAAAGGTGCGAAGAAATGTAGTCAGCCTCGAAATTCCCATGATTGTACTGTCTCAACATATAGCACCATTGCCGAACTCATTGTCATTGCGAATATTGGATATTCAGTTGAAAGAATGTAGTTCCCACGAACAGTTAGAGGTATAAAATCACGTGTATATATATGATATAAAAAAAGTAACAAGACCATTTATTATTGTTATAATAAAAAATTAACAACTACATCATACTTCTATATAAAAACTGAATACATGATTATCACAATACTAACACATATAATAATAATACTATTTCTGTGGTTGTGAGATTATTTCAGTTAAACTAATACTAGTCCACTGGATTTTATGACCACAGATTTAACCCTTTCCATTCGAGTGGTGACACCGAGGCACCACTAAAAAATGTTTATATCACATTCTAAAATAATTCTTACGTCAAGGTTATTTAGATTTGAAAAATTGTTGAAAGTATAACTGTTGTATAAGTCACAAGACTCAATTTCACATGCATAATATGCACTCCATCATATAAAATAGAGACAGCGTAGGTCAGAAAAATCAACTTAGATTTACAGTTAAAATGGCTTCGTATGCAAAGGATTAATATGTAATGTAAAAATTAGCTATGTAAGTATAATCTAATGGTACCATCAGGGTGTATAATGTATCTACTACATTCGTAAAGTATTCAAATATATAACAATGGATTATGCCCGTTTTTAATCTATAAGGCACAGATATAGTGAGAAACATTCGATTAGTATAATTATGGAGTTTTGCGCAATATATCGTCCATATATGGTTTAAAAAATTCGTATTGACCCGTTCGCGAAGCCTGACCAGCCATTATATCGTACGCATATTTTAATACAGCTAAATAATTTTCTTTTCCAATAATGTTTAGCTGAACATTAAAGACATGCGTATCACATGATGGCATAAGTTTTTTAGAAACAGGTAAACAATGTTTCCTTTTCTTAGCTTCAGGTTGTGTGTCTGTTATCTCTGATTCTTCCTTCATTTTGTCTCTCTTTGGACAACTACAGACTCTAACAGGAAGTATGCGTCTACCCAATACTGTTCTTTTATGATCTTCCAAAGTAAAAATTAAATCTGTTGGTCTACGATTCATGCCAGATGGGCAACTGTTCTTACATAAAAACTTAAAATTCATTAGTACATACTGAGATCCTGGTTGAGGTGTACGAAGGGGTGTCAATACAGATAAGTGCTCATTTCTTTCTTCATACATGCTTGAATGATCCAAACAACGAACAACATGTTTTATAACTCTTGGATCATAATCTCGATTGTTTGTATTATTTAATGCCATATGGTTGTGGCACCGTCTGACCGGATCACTCGCATATTGATCCAAACTGAAAACCATGGTAGTGCGCAAATATAAACCATCATCAGGTGGATCCCATTTAAAACGTAATGGTAATGTTTCATCCATATTAATGAATACTTTTCTCAATGACTGAGAGTACTATTAACAAAATAAGAGAAGTATATTAGATCAATACTTTTATTTTACGATTTTTCCATAAACAATCAAAAATACTTACAATTCGATGTTTGGTAGATTCTTGATTAGCTAATGAAAACTGAAAATTGTAACATCCTGGAAATTCTTCCCTTACTGGAGTTGTGGCTTCCGATGATGGATAATATTCGGGAGAATCTTCATTTTTCATTACTTTTCCTTCAACGTATTGTTGAGTTAAATTTGTTACATCGTATTTTTGATCGGCCTCAAATTTTTCTTCGATACTCTCTTCAATCATGTTCCCTGTTAATAATGGCAAAGTATTGCTTCCGCTAAATCATGTGACAAAAAAAAATAAATAAATAGTGAGAATAGTGTTTTCTAGAAATTTATGTAGGATTTCATTTACATTAGCCTGCACTTAGATCACACATCGAAAGCTGAGAAAGGTTAACATGACAACGAAAACGAAAGTTCTGTGACTAAACAATTTCTTACATTTCTCTCTGTAATTCTGAAAATGCATCGTCATCTAGTAATGCTGACTCTTGCGAGTCTGAAAATCCGTTTGTGTTAGTCATATCAAAATATTTATTATTAATCACTGATTGTTCCAATTATCAACAACATTTTTTCATCGCGTTTCGACGATATAACACCATCCGTATTAGCGGGAAAATCCTTTGTTCAAATAAAGGATCATTTTCATCGACAATAAGACGGTATACATGTAATATGAAATCATTTCATAGTGCTGCCAATTGTGGCAATCTTTGAAACTTCGATTTGGAGGTCTGTACACGCGCCAATCCACATTGTGGGAAAACGCTGAAACTGTTAAACGATTACTGACTGCTAACAGTTTACATAGACAACAGATGGTGTCACTATGCATTTCCAGATATTGTAGGTAAATTTGTTCACCATATTTGTAGTTCAAAATACTGCCACAAGTGGCAACACCATCGCTCAAGTATTCCTATTCAGTCGACCACGTTGTCCAAAAGTTTGGGAGTTTTGCCACTACCTGCTTTTGGCGCTGTACGTACCTCCTATTTTTAGTTCGAAATATTGGCACGAGTGGCGCAACTGCCGCTTCTGTGGCGGTTTATTTAAACTATACGGCTGCATATGGGTAGCACCCTCTTGAATGTATAAAAAAAAAAGAAAGCAGAGAGAAAAGAAGCTAGAAGCGAAAGAAAAAGAGACAAGCACACTACTGTAAAAAAAATAAAGAGTAACAAAGTCTAGTTTTCAGTCTAAAACTACGCTCATAAACGTGATTTCTGGGAATGAAAGAGAAAAATGCACGTGAGAAGGACCAAGAACAGTAGCGATCAAATCCGTCCATCGGTCTTAAACTTTTTTATTCCTGAGTAGATGCCGGATTGGTTATTAGACAGAGTGTTTGGCCGCAGATGGCTTCGTATGCTTCTCTCGTTATTGTTAAACGTACGTAGCATTTGACATCGATGAAAAAGCCGCAACTACGTGCAGCAAGCTTGATGCATCATCGAGAAGAACACGATAAACAGCATGCATCGAGCTACCAGAGGGAATGGTAGTCACGATTTGCCCGGTTCTTTTCTGGTTTCTTTTTTTCAGCGATCTCGCATAGCTTCGCAGGAGACACGGTGAAAGCCTGTTCGATCCGTGTTCGCCTCTGCAACCGTGGCGACAGTTTCGGCTATCTGTGAAGTAGAAAATCGCGAATGAACACAGAAAGTAGCTGGGTCGCGGGCGCATGCGCGCCGCGCTACTGCATTTTATGAATGGATGAGCGAAGTGAATGAACGGACGTCAGCTGGGTTGGTTCGGTGCATACACCGATACGCCCACACACACACGTGCACACACGCACTGGCGTGTGCACACCGACGTGCCGAGAAGTAAGCCGACACGTAGCGAATATCCGCAAAATAGAAAGGGTGTGTACCCGCGAATCGGGGACCGTGCTCTTTAAATCGCGGCCTTTAACCCTCTCTGAAAAATGATCGCGACGAAGATCCTCCAGTTTCACAACCATAGCGTCTTACTTACCGACACCTCAAACGAGCACATTCAAGTGCAACGCAATTGCTGCGAAACAAACGGCTTCCATGGTGTCTGTATTGAAAATGGGTAATTCGTATGTTTTACGGCCTTGTCCGTTTTTTAGGCAAGACGGCCCTTGCGGCCCGTCTGCAGGGCACGTGAGCGCTAAACGCGCGTCGACTCGAGTCGAGCAAATTTTGACTCGAAAGTCCGGATTGGTTATTTATGACCACCAAAGATTTTCCGACCCACAGTTTGCGGGTCTTCCGCGTTTTTAGTCAGTCGTCGGTGAGCAGCTTACGAGTACACTCGTTGTCTCTAAGCTCTTACGAGCAAGCCTGTATATTAGATCTTGTGTTTCCGTGTGTTCAATAAATATACTTTTACCTAAAACTCTGTCTTCAATTATTTGCAAGCAAATAATCAACAGTCTGAAACGGGAAATTGGCGAATTTTCACTTTATTCTTAGATTTTTAACAAATGTACATTCTTCACGACGAAAATGCCATCGTTTACTGTCTTTGGATCTTCGATCCTGGCCTGTTCGGGTTGCAAACGATGTAATATAATTCAGAACTTGTGACTGTACAAATAAAATACAATTCGCTGATTTCGCCCAAGAATGATGGAGATAGAAAACCTGATCATTTTCGTCTTTTTCTTTACTTTTCTTACAGATTAGTTGTCTTACCACCTTCTGTGGAAGGGTTTGAAGCGTGAAACAGAAATTACATCTATTTCCTTGCCTCGACGAGAAACGGCGATCGCGGGGAAACGTTCGGTTTCGGGCCACGGCTCGATGCAGAAACGTTCCGTTTTCGCGCGCGCGAGATGCACCGTGCCGGGGTGACGCAAACGGTAGAAAGTCGAGGACCAATTATTTCTTTTTCATCGCCTCGGATTAAGCGGCGGGTACGCGACAAGACCGGTAAAACGCGCGTGCACGCGATCGTCGCCCACGAACGGCCCGGTCCGGCCCGGCCCGGCCCGACCCGGCTCGGCTCGGCTCGGCGTTCGCCGTTCAGAACGGGTGCGTTACAGCAGCATAAAATATTTTAATGAAATGTAAAGCGCCCGATATTAACCCGCGCCATTTTTCCGTAACTATTTATCGTCCCGGGGTCCGGTGAAACGGGCCATAACGGCATCGGGCCCGGCGACTTTGATTGTTCCCAGGTCGCGGTTTAAATACTTCTGCGTGCACCGCGCATAAATAACCGGGCCCCGGGAGCCGGCTACGATAAATTGCCGATTTTTCACGACAACCTGTATTCACGGCTGGTATCGGCTCGCGTGGCAGGTGTTGCTTCATCGGGTCTAGCTCCGACTCGATAAACAATACTAATGCACGGCCGATCGGAACATAAAAACGCCCCGGCACTAAATCGGAACAGATTTCTGCCGGCCGTTTTATCGGCCTTACCGCCGGGACAGTTAACGTTGGACAGTGATTTCAAACTCGATTGATATTTCATGCGAAACGCTTCGATCGTAGTTTCCGGGCGCGTCTGGTTGTTTCTTCGTTCCCCGAGAACCCTAGATACCGTCTTACCACACGGCATTCTGAAAACACGTTGCAAAAATTGCGACCGCCCTCCCGCCCCCCCCGCCGCCGTCCTCCTGTTACGTGATATCCTAACGCGGATAATCCATCTTCATAAAACAGTTTCCACGCAGCACGGTTAGCCAACCTTGGACTATCCCCGTAGAACACAAGCAACACATTCCCGTATAATCTACATTATTTCTACGTTTCATTTAACACGGTTTCGTTACCGCACGGAACTGGTCGACCGTGTTATTAACACGAGGGTTGACTTGTATTTTTTGGCCACAAACGGAAATCGCAGCTGCTTCCGACGATAACGGTGACGCTGATGAACGACTTCGCCGGATACCTTATCGTCCGGTTCTTTATTTTCTCATTCCGAAAGCATCTGTTCCCAACGCATTTTTGAATTCTCGAATTTTTCGAACCGCCGGAAAAATCGCCGGCACCCTTATATTGGGTCCCTTATCGCTCCGCAACGACGGTTAATCCCGTTATCAGGGCTCGCCGTCCCGCTGGCATCCGCGTCAGCCGCGGCTCGAGCGTCCGCGCCGCATTAAAAATACCGCGGAACCGATCAACGTTTAATTCCAGAAATAATCCGCAACGAGCCGGCTCTATTCTCGTACCCGCGTTTAGCATCCCCTTGGCGACGGCCGCGCGGGGGGTGTGGAGCGGCCGGCATAGCCAACGGTGGTGGTGGTGGTGGTGGTGGTGGTAGTGCCGGGAACGTCGTTCGGCCTGCAAAACGCGCGTAGTACGTATCGTGTACGGGTTGTGCAGGTGTTTGCATGGTTCCACGGATAACTTCACCCCCCCCCCCCTCCCGGCCGGAGATTACGTCGGCGTCAGAGCCGGACCGGCGACGGGGCGCAGGGGGTTGGTCGATGCCGAGGAGGGTCGTCGGGACGCTCTCCCCGGACTCGAGCGGTCAAGGGCAGTGGCGTCGCGTGACGTCATACGGCGCTGCAGTGACGCAACAGTCGCCAGGGGCAACCCGTCGGCTGACGGTCGCCTGGCAACCCTGTTGTGCTGTCCCCCGCACCACCGTCATGCTTCTTCTCTCTCCGTCTCTCTCCCGCTCTCTCTCTCTCTCTCTCTCTCTCTCTACCCCCTGCGGTGACCGTACCCTCTGCCGTGGCCCCGCTCCCCCCTTGCTCTAGCCGCACGTGCCATTCCTCAATGAACCCCTCTTCTCCCTCCTCGCCATTCCGTCCATCCACCCCCTCCATCGGTCGCCGCATATACGCCAGCTACCACGATCTACCTTGCTTTTACGTGGGCTCTCGACGTGACCCTAACCCCCAGCGAGGACTCCCTCGACTGGATACTGATGGCCGTGCACCCGACCCGATCCAAGGATCCCTCTCGAACACGGCCGTCGGTGGCTTTCCACCCAGGGGCTGGCGAGTTCCGTTGACGGAAGTCGGACTGGTTCGAAGACCCCGTCAACGTTGATCTTCCTGCCGAACAAGCAAAACAACCGGTCAGATTTCAGGGATCGGGATGGTCGATCGCGTTGGAAGACGCGCCTCTCGTCGACCTTTCACCCTTCGGGCCGGTCTGGGTGCCAAGGGTTCGAACTTGCGCAGGGTGGTTCTCGCAAAAATGAAAGAGACGAGAGGAATATATTTTCGAATCGAACTCGAGGATGCGCGGCATCCCCCTATGGACGGACACCCCTACGTGTCCGATAGGGGTTGGCTGGCTGATCATAATCTTCCGGATCTACTTAACGCGAATAATACACCGCGCAAACCCGAGGAGCTGTCAAACACGGTTTCCGTGAAAATAAAGGCTTCGTGGATGAAATTCGTGCTGATCTCATTCGATTTTCAACAACGCAGAATCGATCATTGGAATTCTAATTTTCGTTTGCGATTCGATGTCGTGAATAAATTGTCTATCGATTTACGTTCTCTATCGCAGCAAGTGTCGCTTTTCTTCGAGTTCATTCCTTGACGAGCCTTGCGAACAAATCGTTCGTACGAACCCGCGAAGCGTTCTGGACCACTCTGCGTCACAACCGCGGACGTCCGCGTGCATTTTCGCGGCGCGTCGTGGGCGGATATAGAGACGTTGTACCTTTTCAGCGGAAGCTGAAAGGCGCGCGAACACTG